TATATTTATATTTATATTTATATTTAGCAATCTAATTGCAATTGAGCGAATAGAAAACCAGCATCATAGTCTTGAACGTTTGTTAAATTTACAGGAAAATAATGACGAACGCGCTAGAAAAAATATCCTCGGTCCATTTTCCACAACGAGATTTCATACGACACAACAAAAGAAATAATGATATTTATCTTTGTCGCGTACAACTTGATGCCTTTCCCACGATGTGACCACAATTTTAGTTTATCAAACTTAAACATCATTGACACTGATAGTTTTCTTCGTATTGTCCGCGTTGGTGACATCAAGAATTGGTACTTGAAACTCCTTGCGCAATGACAAATTACACAACCTGAAAATGAAAGCGGAAAATGTGTCACCAGGAGGAAAAATATAGATTCTTCGAGATTCGATTATTGGACGAAAGTAATTCGGGCATTCGACGAAAAATTGTTTATATTTTAAACTGCTATAAGTTCGTGAAAAAAAAAAAAAACATCCGGTCGACCTTACTTTGAAGCCTCCACTTTGACAATCTCGCATTAATTTTTTTCTAAGATATTTTTACGTCAGGTAGCAAATGGAAAATAAGGATACCTTTGTCCTGTCAAAATTCAAATGCCCCTGAAAATGGTAAAAAATCATTTTTGTGACCAAATATACAATCATCTTGGAGGATTGAAAACTTCCCTTTGCAACGACTACTTAAAACTTTCTGTTTTATTTACTGATTTTATTTTTCGTCATTTTATTGAATTTTGAACGTTCAGACAAAATGTTAGGACTTTCTGAATTTTTGTCGTTTAACTCTGATGTTCAAGATTTAATAAAAATTGGCGAGAAAAGATCGTACAGCAAGTTTCAAGGTGTTGATGTAAAAGAGAGACTTCGATCTTCGAGATTATGGTAGACCTAGTCATAAAAAGAATTTTGAAGGCGTCTAAATTTTTATTCTTGCTTTTCTACCTGCTGCATGATGTAAAAACACTTTCGGAACAAAAGAACTCAAGACTGACAAAACAGAGGTTTTATGAATTGTTGTACAATTTTGTTTCACGAAGTTTAAAGTATCGAGCGTGAGAATTCAGAGAATATTTCTTCACCTCTGTATATTCTCGCGTTACCACTAAAACAACAAGTCTGGATTTATTTTCACTTCCATTTCGATTTTCATTTTCATTTCCACTTTCATTTCCGTTCCCATCCTCGCTTCCGTTTTGACCGCCGGCTTAAACAGAAAATGAAAGGCATTAACAACAGGTTTGAGAAGTCACGTTTCGAAATAAAACAACGACACGTTGAATTTTCTATGCTTACGTACGAAACAATGTTCCAGGAAACAAATCATTGCTGAATAATTAAATTCTTTATTGTTCGTCGAGTATCCTTGCTAACACAATGGTTATCAGTGATATACTCACAATAGTAATTATATTTTTAGATTCGCAGAAAATCATAAACCATAAAGAATATGTATTGTATATATGTAACATTTGTATACGCAACATACGATTCCCGCTGAAATCGTCTGAGCGTTATGCTGTATGTGGGTGTTTCACACGTATTACGCAAATGAATAATAGTATGCAACTTTGTCTTTCACTTCTCTTTTTTGCGTATAATATTTTTACCTCCTACTTCTTGCTATCGTCGTCAATATTTCTGAAAGCTCTCTATGAATAGAGAAAAATGTATTGAACGCTTACGTACTAATTATTATCGTCATCGATCTCCTTAAAAAGCAAGAAGTATTTTTTTTTTCTTCTTCTTCTTCTTCTTTTCTCATCTGTGCTTCGCATTTAAGTTCTCCATTATCTGTACCTTGCTATCTCTCGCTTGTATCTATCTATAAATCATCGAGACTTATTTTCTATATTATACGCATATTACACGTATAACCGTATAACTTTTTATTTAGACGTATTCTTCTACATGGGGGTATTGGTTGCGTGTATTCGCGCGTACAAACGTACCTTTCGTATTTATGCAAATCGGCATAATTTGCACATGCGCGATACAGTTGATCACGTATCATACGTATAAAGTACTTTGAAAATAATTTTATAGGCATTTTTGCGTACAGTCACCCGCCGAATGGCAACTCGATTATCGCGTTAACTAGCCTCGTTTATATTGGCACAAATGTTGCAATGTCAACGGAAGAGTGCCCATCGGAAAGGGACTTTGATCAAATTTATTCGATGAGAATGGTTGCAATTTACTTATCGACTCGACGAATATATTCGATGAAGCCTCTTTTCCAGCACCATATTAATCGTTTCTTTCAACTCTTCTTTGTACACCATTCCACATTCAAAACAAAAAGAAAAGAAAAAAAATTTAAAAAAAAAATAAAATAAAATAAAATAATCAGAAACGATACCTGACTTCTATTTCCTATTTGCACTATAAATTGCATTTGGTCGCATTCAAACGACTGCGCGTGTCTATATTTTAATCTATATTTTATTATGTTAAACGCTCGTAATAAATGTATACCTCTCACTTCCTACGATGTTTATAATCAGTCTTTGCGCTTCTATTATACGCTTTATTCGTATTTATATGCATGCGAAGATTTCAATACAAAAACGAAAAAGTAGTAAATCATTAGTTTCCTGAATCACGTTAGACACACACAGGTCTCGCTTTACTTCGCCATTAATAATATCGTTTCTTCCCTTATAGTTTGCTCTGATCAATCTTGGAAGACGCGTTCGCGAGTTGCTGAGTCGACGCGACTCCTTTCGAAGCCTTTCCCTTCACGTTTCTATCGTTTCTATCATCAACAACGTCAGCTGTCATTCGGAATGGAAGAATGAAACGAGCGAACTCTATCGGAATTCTAAAAGTAATTTCATTAGGTTTTGCACTTTGGATGTTCCAAACATAAATACAGTAGTACAGGTTCCTATAAACTCGCAAAGACTAGTAATTCTAGCATTCTCCCTCTTCGAATAGAAAACTGGATATGAAATACGACATCGACAACAATAACGTTCGATTCGAGCCGATAATAACGGTAACATTCCGATCGTATTTTGAGGCACATGAAGTTGAACTCGAACGTAATACGTAGGAGTCTTTCGAAAAAATTACTCTGAATTCTTTGTTCACGAAAAAGCTCATGGAGAAACAGAGGACACCAGCGTCCGTAAAGAATGGCTTCTTGAAAATATCGAAAAATCGTGAGTTTGCTACGACTGTGTTCCGAGATGTTCAAGATCATTGAGAACAAAGAACGAGGCGAAAATGAAGATAAGATTGAGAACAAAGACGAGAACGACAACAACGAGGACGAGGAAGAGGAAAAAAGAAGAAGAGAAACGAGACAAGCGCGTGGAAGCTGAGAGGTTCACAGTTTGTCTTGATAATTTCGTCCAGATTTGTCATCGAACAATCGAGGAGAAGTTCGTGAAACCCGTTTCTACATTAGTTTCGTGATGGACGAAGGGAACAGCGAAGAAACACGATCGACGACGAATCTGTAAAAACGTGATCTAGAAATAGATGGTCGTCGATGATCTACGTCTAGCTTCTACGTTACAATTTGTCAAATTTAAGATAGACATTCCCTAGACAAGACTAGGTAAAAAGATCAAGATTCTTACCGCGCTAACTGCATAGAACACTGGGGGGAAAGTGCAAGAGGAAGGGACAAGGTGAGAAGAGAGGACAGAGAAGGGTGAGAAGTTTTGTCAAGAGTTTATGCCAATACATACAATAAGATAAATACGAGATTCAACGCCTCTATAGAACATTATCGATACGCATTATCGCTGAGTTGTTCCGGTTGACCGGTGAACGAACCGGCATCGAATTTCGATTTGACTAGAATCTTGCTCGAAACAATTCTTTGTCGAATTCTTTGGTCCTTGATCGAGGATTCTGCCGTATCATTTAGATCTCAGATCTCAGAAGCTTATGTAGCTTGTGCAACATAAATGTGGATGTATCCGTATTGTCTTCCGTAATAAAAAGAAAACACGATCAAATCTATTTTCCAAATAGATCCTTTCTTATTAGATTACTAGCTATTTGAAATCCGACGGTAGATCACTATGTCACAACTGTCGGCGATCACGAACTTGTTTCTTCGTGCATCGATACAAATATTACCTACGTAATTGTTAACATTATCACAGAGATCCTCGCCCGATGAAAAATCGAACTCGATGGATCCGTTAATCCGGCCAAGTCGCATGGAAAGACACGTTTCTTCTTCGACCGTACGACGTCATATCGCCATAAAATTACTATGCAATATTTATATGTATATGTATGTCTATATGTATATGTATATATGTATAATATATATATATATATATAATATAATAATATATTTTTTTTTTTATTTAAATAGATTCTCTATCTTGGATGTTATCTATGTTAGGTAACGACCTGTTTAGGTCCGCTTTTAATCTAGACGATACTAAAACTCAAACAGAAAGATACCAACGCAAGTTATCGAACCAAATGAGGAAATGAAAATTTCTGACACGTCGATCGAAATTCATTCGATCGTTTCGTTGATTCGTAAATTACATACTTGCAGTCTCCGATGAAAATAATGAAACGGCATTTGATTTTATGCGGCAACGAACGTTGTAAAGCTTGTTTCTGCATCTTCGCCATTTTTATCGCCCGTTGAAAAACGAGTTGAAAAAAGAGCAACGGCGAGAGACGCGACGAGTTTTCAAGTCACGCTTCCGATTTTACGTCACAATCGAATCGGGTGGAATCATCGACAGCGTGGGAAATTAATCCTTCCTTCGGGGGCACGATTATTTGGTCTTAACCGTCAACTGCGACGAAACCACGCGTAACGCCTGCTCTTCTTGACTAGAATTTCCGAACGTTATTTAAACTAAACTACGCTAATGAACTAGAATACTATTAGCGGGATATTACTAGCG